TGGTGCAAAACGTCTCTGAGCTCTCATCATACTGACAGGAGAATCAAACTGGAGCATATCGGCGATGATTGAAGGAAAAAATTCTTTCCACTGCTTATTTTCAAGTAAATATAGTGATTTACAGAATGACCTGGGTTTTACTAAAGTAGGTTTTGTTGTAAATGACAGCTATGAGAGAAGAAATATTGTCTCAGGTGACCATGACCCAGCTTGATGGGGTCATCTTTTTCTCTGCGAGTGGCTTGGCGTTTTGGCCGATGATGGTGTTCCACTTACGCTTTGTTCTGTCACACACAAGAAAATGTCATGACAGCTGCTTGCATCAGGACCTGCATAACCGAGGACATCATCCTGATGAAAATGCTCCTCCTGCATGAGAATTCACAGATTAAGCTGTTAGTGGTGGTAATGGGACTCTCAGAGGTTGACTGTGTGAGAGCATCTCTTCCTCTCTGGCATTTATGGATTCCTGTGTAAAAGAAAATCTTGATGGCTTATATCATCAGTATATGTGCAGTAGAACAAACAGCATCTGTTCACATGAAGACGATGCTAACAAGAAGAGGAGTCATTTTGCACCAGTTTTCTGACACAATTTTCTAACTCGCTGTTCATCGAAAGGCACCTTTCCCATTACTAAGACAGAAGATGAATATATTTCCTGACATTTCAAATATAACCAAAGCAGATGAACTATATCGCTCTTTCGCTGTTGGTTCCACAGTAAAAGATTGCATTATCACATCTTAAAGTGCAGATGCTTATCGCCCCAAATTTAATCCGTGGCCCCTTCAACCAAAATTAATGTCTGTAGATTTAGATTTTAGATTGCAGTTGCAGACAAGACCATTTTAAAGTTATAATATTGTGCAATGGTGAAAACAAACACATTATATTAGAACAACAATATTTATACGGAAATGGCTCTTTCACAACATTTAGATAATGTTTTAAATGTGTATAGTAGAACAAAATAAAAGCAAAAAGAAGGGAGAAAGATCTAAAAATACCAGTAAAATAAAGATAAAGTCCATGAATATATTTGTTTAAATGTTTATATATCATAATTTTTGATAAATGTACTAACCATGTTGGATTTATTTTAATATTTTTATTTGACAAAATGATATATAGTAGTTTATATAATAGTTTTAATGTGATCCAGACCTGACAGATATGTTGACCTGGCCAATATATCATCAGATTTTATATTATCACAGATAACAGACTTTTGGTAGAATAAAACACCATAAAATAGAAATAAATTAGGATAAGAGTAAAGAATAAGAATTACATAAAGGAAAGCCTAAAAAGGTGCGGCTTTATTAAAGCTGTCCACAGTGTGCACATATCCTGAGTCCAAAGAAAGAAAGAGTCACTTTAAGTGGCACAACCTCAAAAGCACAGTCTCCTTTAGTTTTAAGCTGGGATCAATGAAAAACAAACAAGCCCTGATCAGAGAACCATAGAGACCTGCTGGTATTATAGAGTGGCAGTAGATCTATAATGAAGGCAGGTGCCCGACCATGCAGAGCTCTGTAAGTTACCACAATAGCCTTGAATGGGATTCTGAATTTGATGGGCAGCCAGTGAAGAGAAATCCAAATTGGTGTCACTTGAGACCTTTTTGGAGCTCTGGTCAAAAGCTTAGTAGCATTTTGGACCACCTGTAAACGATACAGAGATGCATTGCTGTGGCAGGGGAAGAGAGAGTTTCAATAGTCAAGATGGGATGAGATAAAAGTGTGAACTATTATTTCCATCTCAACTTGAGGCACAATGGGCCTGAGGTTTGCAGTGTTTCTCAAATGAAAAAAACAGGAACGAATCAAACACTTGACATGTTGGTCCAGTCAGAGTCTGTTTCATAGTATACAAGACTGGGTGGAGCAGAAATAAGAACATCTGTTTTGTCAGCATTGGACTGTAGGAAATTATCAGATATCCAGTGTTTAGGCAGTTATTTAAAACTAATTATTAAAGGATATGAAAAGCTGACTATCATCCGCATTAAGTGACGTATTGTCTGTCCAAGACGAACCACATGCACAGTAAACAGAATCGGACCAAGTACCGAACCTTGGAACACACCACATCTGATGATTACTTTGGCCACTGTGTCAAAAGTTGCACTGAAATCCAACAGTACTCTCTCCTGCACTCTCAAAATATTATTTTAGACTCTGCTTACAGGAACCAGACTGATACTTCTGTGTTGCCAATTTGTCCACTTTTTTCTAGTGTAAAGTGTCTTTTAGAGTCCGTACGTGTGTAAAACTGTAACAATATTCTTTTTGTGAAATAGCCTTGAGTCCAGGTGAAGTCGCTCTGCTTTCAGGTGCTCTTCTGTCCTTTCCCTTGCTTCGTCATACTGCATTATTCTGCAATGCAGCAATAAATCTGTTGAGAAGACTGAAAGCATACCACCCTGACTACAAATGTGTCCATGGGCCTGAAAGATGACTTCACATCTATACTTTAATGAATGTTTTTGTTCAGGATCTTCAGGAGGATTCAGCCCATACTTTCCTACAGTACTACTTCCAAAAACTGGTGACAGGAGAGGGGCTTAATGAGACTGATGTTCTGTGTGTGTGTGTGTGTGTGTGTGTGTGTGTGTGTGTGTGTGTGTGTGTGTGTGTGTGTGTGTGTGTGTGTGTGTGTGTGTGTGTGTGTGTGTGTGTGTGTGTGTGTGTGTGTGTGTATAGAGGAATGGATTGAGGATAAAATAAGACAGAAAATAAGGTTTAATTGATCCCATCATCTAAGCATGACACTCGAATACAGCCACGGATAGAAAACCTTTTCCTGACTGAGTAGCATTTCTAGATACCAACCTCCTGCTGCACATGCTTTCTTCTACACCTCAGTGCCCGCATATGATAACATTTCATCGTAATTGGTTGCGTTTACATGCACAGAGCAACTGTTGGTCACATTGTGGTTAAGGTCTGGGATTTAAGGGGGTTAAGCTGTTTACATGAACCTCTGTTTCATACACATGTGAATAAACCATGACTAAATCCCACAAATAAACCAAATATTTTGTTTCTGGTGCTCCTGTTTCTGGTGTGTTTGGCAGATAAAAAAGCAGGTTATTTCTAATACAGGGGATAATAAACTGGATGTTCTTACTGTAATGCCTTTGCAGTCATATCGACTATAATGTTCTTGACTATGGCGACTTACCTAAGCGGTCCACAAAAGAAGCAAAAGAAACCCAGCAAGTCAGCAACAATGAACAATAAGAGCAAAGAATGTGCCTAGTTCCATAGAGGATAGATAATCAATATTAATACAAATGAATAATGGAAAGCATATTACATCACCACCTGAGAGGTCTCAACTCAATATAGACCTATTTTATTCCCTACATCATTACAGAGTCAGGAGTTAAAAAGTATAGAAAGGAAATATTAAAACAAAAGTTGAATGCGAAGGACAAAAAGGTAAAACACCTACCTGCAACCAACCCCTGACTCCAGCATGACAGAAAACAAACCCACAAACTACACAAACAGTCCAGCTACACAATATACTTTGAATTTTGAAATTAAATACAGTCAGACATGAAAGGGGGACGGTGTTCCCATCAAGTTTTCTGCAAAAACAAAATGTGTTTATATAAAACTAATTTGCAACAGGAAACCCATCAGCATAATGAGGAATTGTTATTGATAAATGTAATCTGGTAAGAAGCAAAATGTTCAGACTAGCGTAACGGTAAAATGTTCTCTGACAATTTATTTCAAGTATCTGCTCATATGATTACCCCAGCATAATCAAACTTTTTTAGGCACTCACTGTGCTTGGTTACGGTTGGGGAAAGACCATGGTCATATTTCATATAGAAAAAGGCTGCAGCCCGAGACCATGCACACAAAACATTAATATCTTAATGAAAAGAGATGATTTATGCCGGATTTAGCTATTAGCTAATTTCCATCTGCAGTCCCTTGTAGGTGCAAACAGAACAGTCACCAGACACTAAAAACATTCATGTATGCAGCATCATTACATAGTCTCTATCACAGATAAACAGAATTATACAGACACACATCAACATATAAACACCAGCACATACATCCAATTTAACATGACTTGTTGCTCAATATTTTGCACAATGGGGAAAAACAATGAAAGTTTGTATAAGGTTTAAGCTCAGTCGGGAGCATATTCTGGTGTTTGATGGCCATAAATGAAAAAGTAGATTGTGGAAACGCAGGCCGCCGCAGTAGGATGTTTAATGTCGAGTGGAGCTTAAAAAAAGCTCTTCAATGGTGGAGAAGTCTAATCTAATACCTATTGAACTTCTGAAAACAGAATGAGATTTTTAAAACTTCAGAGATTGTATTTGGACAATATGTTGCAGTGATGGTGGTTTAATGATTTCCTCTTTTAAGGCTTTTTTTTAAAAAAAAGAATCTCAGCCCAATTTTACTGGCCTGGGGGCGCCAGGGTTTACAATTATGTATGTAATAATGTATTATCATTTACCCAAAACCATAATTTCTTAATCAGGATCCAAACATCCAACTGCCTCCCTGCGACTCTTGTGTGATACATAAATAAAAATACTAATTTACTAGAGTTAGGAAATGTAAAACATAATGGTGTGTGCATGTTAATATTTCCTCATATGACACGTTACCTTAATTGGAGCGTGTAAATCTTTGTTTGTGGTTGGATGAGTGACAAGATGCGGATCAGAATGTCAATATCTGTAACAGCCAACTGCCTTTCTGCAGGCACAGATAATGCATGAGTCAATAATGGCTCACATCAGTGGGCGACAGCCATACAGCAGTTTGTGGAGGTTTTCTACTTGTTTACAGTGACCCAATAAGCCAGTATGTGAGGTCACTGACAATGTCACTGAATGTCTCAAAGCAGCACAACATGAAGTTTTGGAGGAATGTTAAACTAGCGCATTGAGCAGATAAAAGGGAAATACTACCCGAGATTGGCTTTGACCTCTTTATTATCTTTTCGATCTCCAGGTAACCTTTCCAAAAACTGCACACCGGACGGGTGGACTGAGATGCATCCTTATGACATCGCTGTGAACTGTGGATACAATCTCAACAGCACAAGCGATGATGTGAGTAAATGGCCGCAGTCTATAAGAGGCAGCAGAACAGACACCCAATGGTCCAATTGTGAATGAACTCAGCAGCACAGTGCGAAACCATCTTGAAAGCCAGTGGGCAGGAAGAAATTAATTAGAAAATCTTTTCTTTTCTCCATGGGTGGTGTTGTCGGATCTATCAGGAAAATAGCTGTATTGATTGTTAGTTTCATGACTCTAGTGTTTGACTGTTCTATGCCTTCATTCAACCCTTTTTCTTATGATTGTTCACAAAGAACACAACTGAATATCCAGCATAATACTCTATATACGCTGTTTGTATGCTCATGTTAGTGATTTTAAAAGTGTTTTAATCTAAATTATTAGTTACATGTTTTATAGACACCTTCAGAAATGAAGTAAAATGGAAAAAACTTAAGAAAATCTATTGCTATGTTTTATTTAAAGGAGTCATTGTAAGAAATTTGCTTATTCGCTTTATTGCCGAGAGTAAGATGAGAAGAATACCACTCTGATGGGTGCGTTAACCTTGTAGCTTGAGCTAGGTGCCAATTAGATTAACCTAGCTTAGCACAAAGTGTGGAAGCAGTTGGAAACAGCTAGCCTAACTCTGTCCAAGCTGAGTGTCTTGAGTCCCGACAAATATCTGTAAAACACAATTTTTTTTAAGTTTCCTCTGTTCTAAATATTAATATTTGCTGCTCTTTCACCAGTTTGACACTAACTTTGTCAGTCTGGGCTGTGAGACTGAGGAGAACTGCAGTCATTATAATTATCAGTTGGTTGGTACTGCGAGTGACTCATTTCACATTGCACACTCTTGATCTGGTGTTATTATAAAAAATATTGATTATAGCCAGCCACTTAAACCCAAAGACAAGAAAGTGGTATTGAACTCCTGGTAAGAAAGTGAATAAGCACATTTAAAAAATATCAATTTCTTCTCCCTATGTAAAGAATTCATGAACAAATAATAAAAAATACCCCGCGTTAAATGTGAATATACCAATTCGTCAACGTCACTTCATTGTTTGCTGCAGCAGGCAAATGTCTTTGAAGCACAGCACAGTTGATTTTCATCGGCAAGGCTGGGCTCCCTCCTCTATTATCAGGCATTATGAGTCATTAGAGGTTATTCATGTAGCCTTCAGAGTAAGGAGGGGGATAAATACATCAAATGTAGGTCTTATCCAGTTTAATGCAGAGAGAGCTAATCTTGTCTGTGTTGATGAAGGTGGAGCAGGGTAAAAAGTGGATGTGCTCTACCTGCTGGTAAAAGCTTTCTGGGTGGGCACACTCTGCTCTGTGAGTCACAGAGGCAGCCTCATTAGTATGCTACATAAGAAGTCAGGGGGGACCCGGCTGGTGAAGTACTCTAAAAGGAATTTGATGTCCGTCTTTCTGCATACTTGATAGCTCCGTATGCCACAGGATGCAAAGCTCTTAATCTCATTTTCATCAAGCACAAAACATACAGTGCCATGGCAGCGACATTGTGAAGCTACTCTGAAAGGTTTCATGTGCTGAAGCCAGTGAAATCCAGCTATTCCAGGATATTAGACAGCAACAGCCGTTAGCTTGAAGTGCGTCAGAGGATCCAGTTGTATTGATTCTTATTTTAGAGGAATAATTGTGGTTGAAGCAATCACTTAAAGGTCATTGGAGTCAGAGCATGGGAATTATCTTACTGTTGGAAGGTTTTTCATTATATTCATCACAATTCAAAGAGATTAAGAAAGATGTGGTGTCCTTCGCTCTGATGTTGCTCTTGACTCTTTTTGCTTGGAATACAGTATTACACTGTAAGAAAACAAGTCAAGTTGAGTTTATTTTTGTTTTGTTTGATACCTTTTTCATTACCCATGATGGGGTTAGTGGGAAAAGTACAAGCAAGTATTTTCAGAAAAATGCACTTAGAATATTAAAGTAAAAGTACTTGTTCTGCAAAGAAATTGACCCTCTGGGTAAAGTATCATTACTGAATACAGTATTTTAGATTAATGAATTGTTAATACTGATCAATATGTAAGTAACATTTCACTGTTGTTGTATGTGGAGGCGGAGATAACTTTACATACCATTACGTAGTTTAATATGTAACAACAAATTTAATTTTTATAACGTTATGTGTTTTTTAATATAAAATTCTAATATGCAAAATAAAGAGTACTTATATATACACATATATATATATATATATATATATATATATATATATATGTCAGATATTTGTTGTGCAGGACAAGCATTGAGTAACATAGCATTGAAACAGTCATGTACAGTATCAATATCTTTAAATTGCAGCTACAAGGAGTTTTCATTATGTGTTGATTCTGGCGCCCCCTGTGGACAAACGTGGTAGTGTTTCCACTGCCTTATTTCATCTGATTATGAGGGGAATCAATCCGACCCGGTGGCAGGCATTAAGGCGCGAAGAATAACAATATAGAACAAACCAATCTTCTTGCTGATGGTCTTGTTTGTTTATGTAGGTCATACATAGACATCTGTATTAAATTGAGGCTGTTCAATAATCAGTTAAAAGCTCCCGGTAGGTTAAGTACAGTACTTCTATAAATGTACTGACCCTGAAGTTCTGCAGGCACAGAAGCAATTTTATTTCAAATATACAAAATAATAATAATAATAATAATTTTAACCTTCTGAGTCTGTTTCCTTCACTCTGACTTGTATTGATGGTTTTTTTTCTCCTTCAGGGCAAGTTTTTCTGGCAAGTGAAGATTGGCTACACCATCGGCCACAGTGTTTCCCTCATATCTCTCTCCACAGCTATTGTGATCCTCTGCATCTTCAGGTATGCAGACGTGCAGTAAGACACACTCTACACATGATTTGAAATAGGCATCATCACCATCACCTTTCTCAACTTATGTAGAGAAAGTTTGAAAAGGAAACAAGAATGTCTGTTTTTACTCCGCTGCGAACAGTGCAGCAGCTCAACAATTTGCATTGTTGACTTTGCATAATTTCTGATAGATAAACCTGTTTCCTGGCCTCATGTGGTCAGTTGTTTACAAAAAGGATAAAAGGTTGGAATAAAGAAGGAAAAGAACAAAAACAGTCACTGCTGCAGGACCCCTGTGTAGAGCATTAGTTTGAGCATTTACCATAAAGCACACTGACATTGACATTATTCCTGCTGGGCAATATGAACATGACAGTTTATACATCAAACACTCTGAACTGGGATTTGATCAGTGCAGCTTCACACCAGGCAGAAATACAAGGCTTGTGTTAAACGGCGAAAGACAGGATGAGAGATATAAGTATTTCAGAAATAAATAGGATGTCAATCAAACTTGATGGTACTTTCTATCATTTCAGTGTCTTGATCTTTTGATGGCTCATATCTGCAGGGGTTTGAAGATCATACAGGCTGAAGTATAGTGATATGTATATATAAAGTCAGGAATTGATTGTAAGCTCTTCAAAGACAATTGCAGTTTTGATGTCAAGAGTGACTGAGTGATTGCAAATTATTTACCCTAAAAGCCAATGAATGGACAATATATATCTGCATTATTCACATAATACTGAGAAAGGAATTCACAATACAAACGTTTAGTCTCTGCTGGAATTACTTCTACAGAAAGGGACATGATATATATATTTATATTGTTCATAATTGTTTTATATGTATATTCTGTGTTACCTGTTTCAGCCCAGTTTAAAACAGCAGTTTTAAATTGTTTTAAATTTTAATAAGTTAATGTTCTATAAATAAAAGGCCTATTTTAGAGATAAATGATCATCAGTTATTATGATTTTTGGGGATAAAAAAAAATTAAGGCTTACTGTGCTGTACTGTAATGTTTTTTACAGGAATATATTGCTAACAAATTCTTATTAGTTATTACAGTTATGTACTGTACATTTGTTTTAAGTAAATTAAACTAAACTGTCATTAAAAAACAGTAATAATACGGTTATTAGTTATAATATAGAAAGTTTACTGTAAACAAAAACACACCAAAGACTTGTAAATACTGCAAATACTGTAAAATACCTTTTTACAGTTTTACAGCGCAGATTCTTCTTCGTTATTGGATGCAGTTTCTCTACCTCAATTGTACAAGCTTGAACTTTCAGGATCCAAGAATGTTACAAGGAGATAAGAAAAGAAATATGTCTAAAAGAAGATGGACGTTCTCAGTTTGTGTATACATGAATTCTTTTGTAGCGCATTTTGTCTCCGAACACACTGTAAATATGCTTTTTGCTCTGCCGTAAAAATCCCCAGCTGTGAAATCATTCCTCTCGTTACAGGAGCCCTCTGTGCTCACTTCATCTCCTTGAATTCACAGCCAAAGTAATGTGATGCAAATTTCCTTTCATCCATCCAACCATCCATTCTCTCCTGTATACCCTCTAATTTCTGTTCAAGACCATCGTGAGGGAGGAAAACCCTTTTTTCCCTTATTGCTTTCTTTGTTGTATTTTTCATGTGCCTCCTAGACTAGTCTGTCCCTGCCACTGTTGTTCACTGTAACATTGTGTTAGTCACAGATCAGAGATACTTTTTATGTTTTCCACAAAGACCTGCACTAGGTGTCAAAGTGTGTCCAAGAAACCGGAGAGTTTTCTTCGCCCTTATGCAGCCAGTGCCACAAGGCAGGCCAAGGTCAGGTTGATAAAAATGTGTGAAATCAAGGCAACCAACAGGTTTGAGCCTGAAGGAGAGTAATGACAGGGCAGTGGGAGGCGAGGGTAGCTGAGGGATAAAGTACAGTGAGGGGTATTAATGAGGGTTAGTGGGATGAAGAGTCACACCTGTTTCTAAAGGACACCTCAGATTACAGGCAGGAGCAAACATAAGAGAGTGGGCTTAAAATGTTCACTAGAAATATAATTTTTCATCAAAATTGTTTCTCCAAAACAAGACAACGTCCATTTTTGGCATTTGCTGACAGCAGATCAGGTTGAAATATTGCAGGGAGTAATGGAACGAGAAGGAGCAGTGAGCTGTTAGATGAAGAGCTGCAGGAGGCTGGCTGAACAACTTCACAACTGCTTTCACATTTGCTGTTCACAGACCGATGCTGTGTGCAGCATAAAATCAGCTCATGGTTGCTTACAGAGTGATAAAATGAGGCCAATTATCGCAGACTTCTTTATTAACATGACAATAGTGTGGCTGACATAAACAAATACACCAGTGGCTTGTGTGTTGTAGTTGCACAGCGGTTGCCATATCCTTTACGATTTAAATCTTCAACGTCTACTGTTGAATATCTTCAGGGACATTATATTGTGAATGCTATATATATATACATACAGTATATTATTGTGTCCCATGAGGGATGAGTCATATAAATGTCCACACACAAAAGATAATTAATTATTTTATGGTTTCAGCAGTTCCCTGAACCAGCAGCAGCACAGTGATGGAGATTTGATCTCACACCCAAAATAAAAATACAACCCCCCCGATGATTAAACATGTGGTATTTCATTACTTTCCTATGCTGAGCTTTCTCCTCTCCCAGTATGTGTCTGACCAGTTAGACTGTGATTTTGTTCAGGCACAAAAATGCTCTAAATATAAAAAAAAATTGTCTAGAAATGTCCCTGTTTACACTTCGGTAGTGACTGAGGAAAACAAGCATTTAATGAAATAACAGTCACAGTTTGCATCGAGGACCAAATTTGGATAACAGCATATAACAGTTGTCATTTTAAACAGCTGCTAACAAGCTCTCCTGGCTGTGAGATATAGTTAGATAAAACTTTAATGATTCCCAAGGAGGTAGTAAGCGATTAGGTATGAGCTGCATCACTGCTGAAAAGAAATTCCCCCGACAAGGGAACGAGCATTGCCGCCATAAACAAATGATCAGAGCTAATGGGAATCTTGACACAAGTGCAGACGTTTGTGCCCCTCTCACTCCCTAATCATTTAATCTTCTCAAGTATGATAATGTAATCAGGAAGTCAAGAAGTATTCAAAAACTGACGCTTGAGGATTTCAAAATGTTTCTGATTAGTCAATTTGAAATTCACGCCTCTTGTCTTTATTGGCGAGATGTGTGAATGACCATAACTAGCAATCATTGTGCTTTAAAGCAGATCCATCCACACAGAGATAAAAGGAACTAATGAGCTTAATTATGAGTTAAGTCAGTCTGTGATTTGCTGTCATTTTAAGCTATTAACTCCAAGGACATTGGATAATTAGCATGAAGGCCCTCTTTATTAAATTGTGTGGGTGTGTGTGTGTCTCTTTGTCTTGACCTGTATATCTCTTTCTTTGCATCCTAGGAAGCTCCACTGCACAAGGAACTACATCCACATGCATCTGTTTGTGTCATTTATCCTGAAGGCCATCGCTGTGTTCATCAAGGATGTTGTCCTCTACGAGGTCGGGGAAGTGGACAACTGCTCCTCAGGCTCTGTGAGTTAATTATCCAAGACGCTGCTGTTTTGCTGTGGGTGTTTTGAGATGGACGACTCAGGAATTCTTAGTGTCCTTGAAACCCTGACGAAGTCAAACTCTCTAAGATGCTCAGCAGGTGGATATGACACTCAGGGTGTGCATGTGTGATGCAGAGCCGGTAGGTTAATTATCCACATTGAACCATCTAATGAGAAGATTTCCTCAACTCAGATGGGATGAAAAGATGGATTTCTGTAGTGCGGATGGAGACAAGAAGGGAATGTAAGTGGTTCGGTCAGACGAACACTTTCATTATTACAAATAAGGTCACTACATGTTTTATTTGATGAAGGTTTATATGAGCTTCAAGCATGAGTGAATTACTGTATGATGACGATGCAGTTTTATTTATTGCATTTGTAAATATTCTGTTGTATTATTTGTGGGAATTGTTTATTAGAGTCTGACCAATACTGGACTTTTGAGGCCAATCAGAAAGACTGGAAACAGCCCCGGGGCCTCAGACGTTCCTGGCTCTAGGTTTTGTTTGGGTTTGTGTAGCACAATAGTTGCAGACATAATAAGGGCCTGAAGGTGGATCCCAATATGTTATCTGACCTTGAGACCCTACCCCTTGCCCCTGTCAAAATCTAGTCTTAAGACCCTGTTTTGTGCTTGTGTGCTGCACATTTCTAAAATAATGTGTTTAATCAAATATATTCTAGATATTCCAGCAAAAAAGAATTGTACAGAAAGAGGGAGAAATGAGGGGTTAATGAGGTTCCCAGCAGGAGCCCTTTAGCTGGTTAATCCAACCATGCTAATCACATATTTATATATTAAATCATGTTTAAAATAATCAGATAAAAGTATATTTGCTCTTTAGCAGTTTTAGCTAAAACATGTAAAATAGAAGACTTAGTGTTTAAGCATCTTTACACAGGCTCTATTTTAGAATTGATTTAAAAAGCTCTGAATGGTTTAGCTTCTTAGTCGACTGTCTCCCTCTTCCTTAGTTCATCAAATACCACAGCGCAAAATATACCAACAGTTAAGACAAAGACTTAAGGAGAGACTTTTCTCATTATGGACTAAAACTGTGGAACAGCGTGGCCTTAAATACCTCATGTGACCTCATTAGACATGATATCTAAGTATCTCTAAATACGGAGAAAGATCACAGTGGGAATTTCTTTTCTGAAATTCCTTTGCGTTCCCTCGTAATACATTTCACATTCTGATTGATTTGATGATTTAAAAAACACAAATAAGACTGCACTGCAGATTACAGATTATTTCCGTTGTGGTCCTCACAAGATAGAACAACAATAACAACGGGACAGCAAGCAAAGACAATACAGTCAACATGTTAAATAGCAGGCAGTGTGGTAGCTACTGTATATCAACACGCTATTTCTATTTCTGGTCATAAAAGTTAGTGAAAAATGTCCATTTAATATGCTACGTGGTACTTTGTACTTTCTTTAAGGCCACTTTAAGTGGTAACAAAAAGTTGTGTAGTAGTGAGAGATAATTAATCAACTACTTTGGTACAATAGTTTTAATGATAAGTGAGCAGCATCTTAATATAAATGGTTCTTTTTTCCAATGTTGACCAGTTAAGCTTTTTAAAATGTGCCAGATGAAGATGTGTACATGGATGAACTTTTAGTATAACCCTTATTGCATTATGCAAGTTTTGCATTTCCTCTGATCCATAGATATAGGCTGGGCTGTGTTGTGATATGATATTAAGGTTAAAGGTTCAAGTATATTAATATAAATATAAATAATACAACGAAGAAAAAAACATTAAGTGTATTAGACCACCACTGGTTAGTACCACAGCGTGAGTGGGCACACCTTCCCATGTGGCGATAGCTAGATAGATTTAACATAGCTCTCTCTGACTGCTGCTGAAGCGGATTGAGATGGACTGCAGCTGTAATTAAGACTCCATGGGATTGTGGCTTGCCTGTAATTGTGGCTGAAGACATGCTTTGGTTGTTCCGATTATGGTTGACTTTATAATGGCTGTAACACTAACTACATGCAGGGGATACTTGTGTGCAGTGAATTGACATGGTTGTGTCCTGAAAACATCTGTCATATATCTGAAGCACTGTGGGTTCAAATCACGTGTGATTCTACCACAGTTGCAGCTGCCCACATCCACACAGACACAGCTACATGACCACCACAGCTGGGTGGAGCAGCAGCTGCAGCTGAGCTCACAGTGTTCACTATCGCAGCTCAGCCTTTTGAAAAGAGTAATGAGCAATAAATGCATAATGTAAAGTGTCACATCAGCTCTCTATTCTATAGCATCTGAAGAGCGTTTCACTGTGACCTCTCTGGGGCGCCGTACTTATCTTCTAATTTCGCTTTTAAGTAGTTTTTTTGTTCCTGTGCCTATTTTACTGAATCATACTGAAATATGTGTGTAAGTCTCTGTTTATTGTATTTCATTTCATTGAATGTTTATTTTATAGGGACAGATACAGTTTCCGTAGAAAGTTACGTTACAATGCAGCGCATCACAGCATTTATAGCTACAGCTAATTTCCAATACCCGTCCCTAGAAGGGCCTTTAAAATAACAAACATAAAACATATTGGCAGACAGCGAAGTTAAACAAACTGTGGTACAATTTGTTGACCTTGCAGGAACAGCACACTTGCCAGCATCTAATTTTAACATATTGGCAATTTTGGTGTGTTTTATATATATATATCAGTTGGCAGTGTATTCCATATGTAAGCTCCCTTTATAGAAAGGTATGTCTGGCCAAAAGAGGCATTCTGGTACAATACTTTTTTTTATTGTTTGTGCAGCCTTTTAAAACTTTTAACTAACATCTCTAAAAGAAGCTGTAACATAATTATTATTTTAACATATATATACAACATAACACAACCAACGTTCCTTATAAGGATGCTTTAAAGAACTGCGACCAATATACTGAATGGGACATTTTGGACTGTTCAGGCTCTGTTGTTTATTTATTATGCACATTATTTTTATATCTGGAATCTTGCATATATTAAGTCCTTGTTTAATTAGTGTGGTGTTAACTGCACATGTGCAATTGGTAAAAAGACCAAAAACGCTTACTCTAATTGATTATTTAGGATAGTTCAAGCAATTGTTCCACATTATGAGAAATACACTAAATATCTTGCAGAGAATTAGATGAGAATATCAATACCACTCTCATGTATATCAGTGAAATATTAAGCTACATCCAGGAGACAGTTAGCTTAGTTACATTTTGTTGGTTCAATCAGAACAAAAACTGTAGGGGGAAAAACAACAAGTTGTGGTTTTATGTGTTGGGCTATTTCTATGCTGAGTGCAGTGACTTCAGGAAGTTACTTTACCAAAATGTCAAACTACTCCCTTGAGAATGGAACCAAAAAGGCTTCAGACCTCGTAACATTTAAGAATGGTACAATAAACAGCTTGGATATTTCCAAGTATTCTGGGAGAAGCTTTAGAAAGTGTGTTAAGCGTACTACTCAGACAACCTCCGCCATTCCTCGAAGTGATTAACAACAAAAACAAGACAATTACAGAATATTTAAATACAATTCGAAACCTGCTGACAAAAACTGTTCACCTGAAAAACTGCTAGTTTAAGACAAACTGCATTAGACAGTAGCTGAAGATGTTAAACCCATGGAACAAAACTGCTTGGAGTTACATTGAACCTCAATGTTTAGACATCTTCCCATCAGTTCTCCACCACCAGCACATACCACTGAATTCAGCCCAGAGGCCCCTGAGGCCACAGTTAAGGCCTGCGAACAGGAGGTTTATGTTACGTGATGTGGCCACACGAAAAGAGGCGCCTCAGTGTATTTATTAGTGAGCTCTCTGCCGGCTTTTTTGCGTTAATGGAGCCATTGGGTTGACAGGAGCCAGCTGCTGTCATGTGTCGGTTGAAAAAGACATTATAGAGAGAGGTTTGGTGCTACAGCGCTCATCGTGACCCCCACATTACTTCCTGTCGGCTCAGTTACTGGCGCTTTCTGTGTGTGGGTGTTCTGCACGCTCGGTTCATTAGCCTACTTCTACAGTTGGATGTTTGCTGTAGTGACCCATTAGATTAATTCATGATATAATCGCAGTAGGGAAGCTTATAACTAATGCATTATTTAAGCTACCTGTGTGTTTGTCACAGTGTAGCATCATTCATCCATATGCCACTGATGGCCGGCTTTTTTAAAAATGGAGTTCCAGCAAACAATTTGTACTGATTTGTCACACATAAGAACTAGCAGGAAGGTTCAGACAACCCATCTTGGTCCATTTTCTTCCCCTCTACATGCCAAGTGGGAATCAGTTTATATGTGGTACCAAATCCCTGTCAGCTTCTCCTCCAGCTGCTTTAATAAACTGTCCGAAACTTTACTCCTACATACAAGAAGTGAGTCCCAGAAAACAAACACAGGAAGGTAGTCCCAGGTGTGTTTGAGCAAACTCACCAGAAAAGTACAAATACCTCAAAAATTACTTGAATAAAGGTAGTCGCTAATTATTTTTTATTTTCAATGGAAAAACTATACAATACAAAAACCTTCAAGACAAGAACAGACACACACAAAAAAAGGCAAAACTGAATCCCTAACAAAAAGAAAAAGTACTTATTTTGTCATATTAACCCTCATACTTATTACTCTTAAACATTCCTCTTTCAAGTATATTGCTATTGGGGACGAGTCCCTCATGAACTCATTAAAGAGTACCTCTTAACCTCTTAATTTTCTAATATATATGTAATATGTATGTGGTTTTGTAATCAGTTTGATGGCCACTTTGTAATAAATGGCCTAGAGCATCATCCCAAGAAACTGGTGAAACATCAGTGGACTAAACTATGAATGAGAAGCAGTTTGACGTCTTCTTCAGTCTTCACTGATGATTAATGATGCTCATGTTTCCATGAAGAGTTCAACTCCTCTGCAGATGCTCTGGCTTTCCACTGGTACTCATTTTTCATTTGACACCTCCCTACTCATTCATCATTCTCAGCGTTTCATGTTGAGATAAGAGGTGTGGTGTTTTCACTGTTGTATCATGACTTGTTTGTCCTTGTTTTTGTCTGTGCATTGAGCTCAAAGAAAACAATATTATAGTTGTTCACTTCTTCAGATCCAAGGGTTTAGTTTCTTTATAACATAGGTGTTGTCATTACTTCTCCGCACTACTATCCATGCCTCTCTTCATAATATGCTCCAGTACGTTCTCATTTCACGTTGTCCTTTTCACCCTCCTCCCAAATCATCCCATGTCTCACATCTACTACAGTACATCTGCTAAAGTGCTTAACGCACTCACTCTCACAGGGTCATTCTGTAAGTGGGTACCGTATTGATTTTTCTCATCTGCGCGATGCCCTCCCGGTAGCATCTCTGGGACGCTCATCCCAAAACAAGCTTGTATGTGGCTCATGGAGTCATCCTTGGACCTACACAGTGAAAGTGTTTCCTGTGAATCGGGGAGGCTGTGAAAGAACGACACGCTGTGAAGCTCAGCCCACCTACACCATTAGGAAAATGAACCTTTTATACTTGTATAACATGTTGAATAGCAGCTTCGCCGCACAGCGTTCGGCAAGAGCAAACTGAATTTTAAATGAATTCACCCATCCTGATGGAAGTGTTATGTTGTTGTGCTGTCAGCCAAGAATAGAGCTGATTGTGTTATTCTGCATGGCTGTTTGAGTGTTCCTCTCTTGTCCTCCTGCTCGGTGAAATATCAGCTGGAACATTTCTGCACTTGGCTTTGCTTGCTCAGGTTGGAGAGAGATGGAACTTATATTTTACCATCTGCCTGTATTCCTTATATTACTTGGGTTCCCACTATCAGTGCAAAATATATATTGCACAGAACCACTGGTGGAATGTAACAAGCACTTAAATTTGTACATGTTATGCAACTTTATACATTTGTCTGACAGCTTTAGTTACTTAGTTACTTTTCATATTTTAAATTCTTCGTCCTCTTCCACTTAAAAAACACATTGGATTAGCTGGAAAATGCTTGAAACAGGGTGGTTTTTCATTAGTAAATTATTTATTAACCAATAATTGTTATATAGTTAAACATACTATTAGTACCAGTTACATTTTTAAGTGAATAACTTTGATCACCAATGAACCAGTTCAAGAAAACCAATCGTGCTTTAAATATATTTTGCATAATTTCTATATTACTTGCTGACATTACATTCATCATTCTGATTTATTTAAACTGCACCTACGAGAAATTTCCATTATTAGACATAATTGAGACACTGAAGCTGCTAATATGAGACCTAAGCTAACCTAATATAACCTTTTTTATTTCCTCAATATTATCATCATCCTTTTTTAATTCACTGAGGGCTGCGAGGGGGACTTTGTTTGAATGCTCAGAGGCACGTCAGATTATTTAAGACCTGCTTGTTCCTTGTTCTTTAACAGAAACTTGAAATATGTGTTAGTACACTTGGCTGAATCACAAAGAAAAAAATTATTGTTGCGTTACAAAGTTTGAGAAGGAAAATCAATGAGAGCATTCTTCCATTTTCTAAATTCCGTTCTGCCACTGCAGGGAATGAAATTGCACTGTAATATCGTCATTGTGATCTTGTAATTTTGTTCCTGGTCAATATGCTGTACATCTACTTAGAAGATCATTGTGAGATTTATGCTTTTGTGTTCTGTGTCCATTACCAGGTTGGCTGCAAAGTAGTGATTGTGTTCTTCCAGTATTGTATAATGGCCAGTTTCTTCTGGCTGCTGGTGGAAGGCCTTTATCTTCACGCATTGTTGGCCGTCTCTTTCTTCTCCGAGAGGAAGTACTTCTGGGCTTACATCCTGATCGGCTGGGGTGAGAGTGTCTTCTTTTTATGCCTCCTCTGCTGTCCTAGGGTGATCTCAACTAAAGACAACCTGCAGGTTGTGTGACCCGTAATTACTTTGGTGTGCACCTTTTTTTTTTATGTTCCTAGGAGGTCCGATGGTTTTCATCACAGCTTGGAGCATTGCTAAAGCCTACTATAATGATGTTGGGTAAGAAAAACACCAGATTACTGCAGCTATCTAGGTCTGATTTTTCTTTGATTTGCAATATCTTGTACATGAACATTGTTTCATGCTTCACCAGATGCTGGGATATAATCGAGAACACTGATGTGTTCTGGTGGATCATTAAAACCCCTATTTTGGCTTCAATCCTGGTAAGTTTACAAGCCTTAGGCTCTTTTTGATCACTCAAATCCCATTACATCAACATTAAAATGTCATGCTTGAATTACCTTGAGCTGTCGACACTCTCAAGTCAGGCTTTTCCAAAGAAAAACTAATTGCCACTGAGAGAGAAAACATCTTTGTCAGTAATAATCAGTCCACCTCCGACTTAGGCTATCTGTCAATGTAATTCATCTGAAGGCTTTTGAACTCCACGTTTAGTATTCCTACTGTATGTCAACACATTTCAGAGGTTGATACGACCTCAAAGTTCTCACTTCACTTTGGAAAGTTTGCAGGATAATCACCATCAATTAGTTTTTCTTGACTGACAGGTCATCATCTACTTCATTATTCAGCTTCTCCATGCCTGTTTTATCTTCCATTTCCACTTTGAAATATAACTTCTTTCTATTTGTGTATAATGTATTGATTAGTGAGTTAAGGTAATAAACTTGATAACAAAGTTTCCCTCTGTTTTTAGTGTTCATGCTTGTTTATTGAATCCATTCAAGACATCTGTTATGTTTTGTTATGAGGATTATGTGACAACAAGCCTCCAAGACGTAGGCCTAACTTTGGGGCAGAACCAGGTTACCTGCCCATTTCCAGTCTTTACGCTAAGCTAAGCTAACAGCTGCTGGCTGTAATGGAAAATGAGATTGGTATCAATCTTCTCATAACTCGCCGCAAAAGAGCCAAAGAATAAGAGAAAAAGCTGATGTGTGAAACTTTTACCTCAGCCCACACATAGATTGAACCACTTATCTTGGAAGAAGAACAGACAGTGATCTGCATTGGCAGAGCATTGGAGGGGTGTGAAAAGCAGGGTGAGGACGAGTTCAACCAGCATGACTTGAGAAACTAGTGGAGTATGTTAGGTGGTAAGAATAAAAAGAACAAAAAGAAGAAAGGAACTGAATCTCTGCCCCATATTTTGACACAGTTTATTCTGTGAATTCTTAATAGTTTCCTGAAACGACTACTGAATTTGGCACTAATTATAGACCGTAGCTTAGCTTTTGTTTTAAGAAGAATTTCTTTGACAGAACTACTTCAAGTAAATGTTCCCTCATGATTAATTTATTATTGAATGCTTTACTTTCCATATACAGTATTCCATATACATTTGGCTGCTCCATTTTTCCTACAGTTAATACCACATTATCCTACTCAGTCTTTTACTGGAACCTTCCTTTGAATTTAAATTTCTCTTTTAGGAAATAGTATCTGTATCCTCTGATGGAGGTCAGATAGATCAAACGTGATAAATTGCATGCATCTAAGTGTGCGGAAATCTTTCAGTTTGGACACCAACAAGATTTACCCGGGTGGAGTGGTTGGTATCCAGCATAGAAAATCGTATTTAAAAAAAACTATACTAAACATGGGGATGCAGACAACAGAGTTTTACAGATAACATCCCCCTCCTCTGTTGATGTCTGCTGAAGTCCCGCATTGTCGGCCTTTGCTTGGCGGTGGGTCTTGGCACAGCAGGTTTAGTTGTGTTCTTTCACGTTAGGATCAGGATCAGCAGCCTGGCTGTCACATCCCTCTGTCTCTTTCCCTCCGCAGCAGCTGAATGGTGTTTGCGTGTGCATCAGGATATCTGTGATGTGTTGCCGGTTCAGAGGTCCAACACAAATTAACGATTTAGAAAATTTGCCCACAGGGCAGCACCACAGTCCAATCAGAGCATCAAGCTTCTGTTACGAGAAGAATTTCGTTCGTCTACGTTCATTAGATAAAATACTGAAAACATGTTAAAGGGACTTTAAAATTAGATTTTTCTTGTTTGAAAGTTGGAAATTTCTAATTTATATGTCATTAACCATCACGAAATCCCATTTACATTGTAAAACACCCTTAAACTGTCCTCATATTCTCCACAGATGAACTTTATTCTTTTCATCTGCATCATACGAATACTTCGCCAGAAAATCAATTGCCCGGATATTGGAAGAAATGAGTCCAACCAGTACTCGTGAGTATAATTTCTTTTTTAAAGTTAACTTCATGTACAAATGTAAACACAGATTATCTCAAATAAACACATACTTGTCCTGTGGGTAAAACTAGTGCTGTGGAAATTATTGTTTTTTCCTGTGGCTCCTTTTCACTTCCTCTGAGCAATTTTAACTTCCTTGCTCAGAGCAATGCAGGGACAACCAACCGTTTTTTTCGACTTCAGAAAAGAAAGTCGTGGCACAGTCAGTCTTCCCCTGGCAGCTGCTTTACACAGAGATGTAGAGCTCTGTGTGTGATGTTTTTTTTTTTCCTGTGATGGAGAGCATCTCATAAGCCCACCATAATGCATGAGCTATTTTCCCACTGACACTTTTAATGGTGTTTTTTTCCCCATCTCTGGTCCTCTGAGCTGAAATGTAAAATGAAAACTACTCCGCAGTTGCATTTCATTATTGGCATATATAGAGACAGATTGAAAATTGGTTTCAATGGAGGGAGACATTTGAATCTATTTTTGCTTTGTCGTTTCAGGAGACTTGCAAAATCTACGCTGCTTTTGATTCCACTGTTTGGGATCAATTTCATCGTGTTTGCATTCATCCCAGAGCAAGTGAAGACTGAACTACGGCTAGTTTTTGACTTGATTCTGGGGTCATTTCAGGTATGATGATGTCAACTCTAAAGGAAGGCCTGATTATAAAAAACACTATACTCAAGATTTTGCATTTGATCCCTTGTTGATTGTTTCCTAGAAGGGCAACCACAACAGGTTTTAATTGAATTTTTAAATTGAAGTTCATTCAAGGTCCGAAGTAATGATTTGGCATCCTGTCAGCCATGACTTGCGAGCGTCTTCTATTGAAGAAACCCTCGCAGAAAACTGTGGCAGGTCTCCAGGCACTTTGCTGGAGAGTGGCAGTGTTACCGTTTTTAAACCCCAGAGTTATTTCAGTTCATCACATAATGAGGAATGATAGAGAATGCAGCCAGACAGCACAGCTGCATTACAGACCGCTTGGAAACCAAAGAAACCTTTCCAGCACATTCCTCCCATCATTCTTCTCGTCCTTCTTCCTCATTATTACTATAAACCAGCCTGTATGCACTATGCATTGTTGTTGTCAATGTAATCTATTGATATGTTTCATATATGAGCAAATAGGAAATTTCACTGCGATACACAATGTTATTGCTCTCTTATCTGTGTTTTTCTTTCCATTTAGGGCTTTGTGGTCGCAGTCCTTTACTGCTTCCTCAATGGAGAGGTAGGTAACCCCCCTCACAGTAATGTAAACACCAGACACACTGTTTAAACCTTTAGATTTTCACACAGAGGTAGCCCACGGTGCCAGGGTCATTTTTAGAAAATGAAGTCTATCTGTAGTGTTTCTGTGGCTCCCTCGGTGCACCACTTACATTCACACACACACACACACACACACACACACAGTCCTGAGAGTGAGAATGAGTCACCAGAGCTGGTCACTCCAAGCCATCTCTGCTCCCTTGGACCTCCTCGTGGCATATTTTCTGTGCTCTGCCTTCAGGGTGGGAGGGTTGTAAAAAAGCACAGCCTTTTTGGCAGGGAGCTACTCAGTGATGTCTGCAGAGGCTCTCTGTGGGAACATTAGTTATGTTCCCAGTGCTGAGCCAGATTGAATCACAGTGATGGCTGGATGGCAAGGCTTGACACTATGCTACCTGAATTTTAATCTGGTGCAATTTTCAGGTGTCCTCTGTTAAGTGTGAAGCCTTGGTGGTGGAGTGTTACAGCCTCAAGAGTGGTATATAGTCGTAGAGTTGTTCATTGTTTGCCACATTAGCAACATATCCGGTCAAAACAAAGCACATGAAATATTGTGCTTTAATATAAAGACAGAAAATACAGTATTTTTTACAATATCTAATACAACACTGTGTAGAGAGATGTTGATTCAACTGATCATTTTGGAGGATGTAGTTTTCGTTGCTGTTGAACTGCATTATACCAAGAGATGTTTCTGTTATTTACCCTGTCCTCGCTGATATATTAGAATCACCTGAAAGCTGTTATCTTTTGATTTTCTGTCGATGCTTTTAATGCTTCTTCTCCATTCTTAATCACTGCAGCATTAGTTTCTGTTTTTCTTCCCTATAATGTAATTATGAATCGTGTTTTAGCACTAGAAAGAGGTACATACTCACAGGTGCTCTATGCAACAAGTCTAAAAGCTTTTTATGAACTCAGTATGAGCGGTACCATTGTTGTCTTACATAAATATCTTAATCAGGAGGTAATTTTGTTTTTTCATAACATACAGTATATGTGATGATTAAAGGACCAGTGTGTAGGATTTAGTGGCATCTAGTGGTGAGGAAGCAGACTGCAACTAACTGAACACCGCTCGTATGTGTGTTTGACAACCTAGGAAAGAACAGGCTGTTAAGTCTGTAGGAGAAACTAAGAATATTATGTCATTTCCGTCAATAGATCCTCCTTAGGGTTACACACTGGATCTTTAAGTCTTGACATAAAGTCTTTGGTGCTTAGAGATTTTTGTAATCGAGGGGCGTCTGCCCTGAGCAGCAGCAAGATAAATCCCTCATTGAGTCCAGACACTGGTGGTGGTGGTGGCTGATGACTCTGCTGAGGCTGATGAAACGATGATGATGATGATGAATCTGCAGACTAGGTGGTGATGGAGAGGGGGCGCATAGCAGCATCATGAACGTACTGAAGGCAGAAAGAGATGTGGGTACAGTGGAAGAAAAAAAGGGGAGTAAGAGTTGGGCATTTAAGATGTATTTTAAGTAAGTATTTTTGTAAATACTGGGTGCCTACATGGTAAACTATAAATTATTTATAATGTGTATAATGTATAATGTTCACATTCACAATATGCTACGATGACTAGAGTACAGTGCTAACCCTGCAGTTTTGGCAACATATAGTAACTGAAAGAATTTCACTGTTAAGACGATTTTCCCCCAAACTTCATATTTGTTTTGAAGTATTGAACTCTGTAGTTACACATTATTTACAAAAATACAAAGACTATGTTCCCCATAATCTTGTTTTCTTTCATTGTACCAAGGTCAAGTTCCTCGTGTGTGAAAACTTACTTGGCATTTTTTAATTTGTTTTGTGAAGTGATTGAAATATCCTACGTTCAGAATAGTCTTTGAATCTGTTCAATTACTCTTCTATTTCTCTTTCTCTGTCAGCCATTTAAAGTTGTTTTGTAATATATATTTAATTCTGTTCACATCTTGTGGTTGTTGCATGTTCTCATGCTGCTCACACGATGATATGTATCATAACTAATGGCTTGAAGTTGTTGCTAAGGTAAGGCATGGGAGTCTAAACCTCACATTGATAGTATAGCTATTATATAAGTGAACCAGGTCTCTGTTATACTCTATGTGTTGTTATTGTAGACACATCCTAATTTAATACTATATTGGGTGGGCTAAACATTTAGGGGAAATTGCTGGCTGTATTAAAGAGTTTTTGTTTTAATCTACTGTAGGTCCAAGGAGAGATCAAGAGGAAGTGGCGGAGGTGGCACCTGCAGAGATACATGGGCTCGGACACCAAATACCAACATCCATCTATTGGCAGCAGCAACAACTTCAGCACCCAGATCACCATGTTGACACGATGCAGCCCAAAAACAAGCCGTGGTTCATCCTCCTGTCACGACGACCTGTCCAGCATATGACCCACATGGACAGTGATACAGACGTACATGCTGTACAAAATACTCCCATGTCAAACAGTGTATGTAAGCTCTATGGATGAAAGACACACTCTCCCTCATTAACACATGCGCTCTTGGAGGATGTGTTGCTTGAGTGTGACATGGACAAAGGGAAGTGATGAAACAACATAGTGCTACCGTAATCAGCTACTAAGCGGCTTTTAATCACCACGCTTCTTTAAAAAAAAAGAAAAAAAGTAGGTTGAAGTCACAAAGATACAAGCGCATCGCTTCACAAGCACAGCTTTTGCACATTTGAATGAGAGACATTCACTTTCTGTCTTTGTATTTCATGATTCAGTGCACAGGTGAATTTGTGAGTCATACCATTATGGATCATTTGGTCAATCGTTATTAAGTTCCCTGTGTGCTCAGAGGCCGGGCAATGCGAAATGTCACATATTAATGGGGTTAGGTGAGGGATCCAAATGTGAACTGCACCAGCAGACCCACAATCTGATGTAATTATGCGTTGATTAAAAATCACTTAGCGGATTCCTGCAGCTCCAAATGAACAAGGCTGGTGCAAAGACACAGATGATTGAAGAAAATGAGCTGGTATTTTTTAGTTTTTTTAACAAAAAATCCCATTATTTATATTGTTACAGTGTGTGCAGCATCATTACAGGCAAGAAAATTACCAGAAATACATTATGGGAGGTGTGTTTGAGTGCTGAATGTGAGCAGTGATGGAAAATGTGTTTTAAAGCATATTTTAGGCAACAGAAAAGAACGTAAAAGAACAAAACAGTGTGCAACATCTTGTTTTCCTCGCTGTGTAGGAGGACAGAAAAAGAAAAACTGGCTGATAACCAGGAGCAATCTTTATTTCCATAAATGCCAAACGGATTCAGACCGGGTGACCAGTGTGATGCTGATTCACAATGACGGGTTTGGAGTACAAATGCCCTTCTCTGCACTATCACTCTCATGAGAGACTGATTGCTCTTTGCCTTCCCTTTTATCAGTACATCCTTTCCTCTTGTTTTTTTTAATTCTGAGCCTGCGATATGGTTGATGTTTTATTTTACTATTTGAGGCACTCTGTATTAAAAAAAAAAACTGTTTTTGCTCCGATCACTGACGAGTGCCTGGTTTCAGTGTTTTGAGGTGACACTTTCAATCAAATCTTCGCTGGCTGTTGGGCTGCACAGCGACTCTGGAGAGGAAATGCCTTCAGTCCTTGAATGTTTACATTTACTTAGAAGGAGTCATTTAACATTTTACAGCCAAGTGTACAGTGTAAAGAACAGTTATTGTTATGGATTGTTGTGCCATACTGATTGTATCGTGGCTACAATATCAGTAATGTATCACTGTAATTGTTGTTTGTTCGCGTTATTGCAACATGTGGGATTTTAAGCCTCACCAGGAACATAAAATACTGTTGTACAAGCTTGTTTATGTAGCAGTCTGTGGCTCAGTGTTAAACATAACAGCTAAATAAGAGGCACTTACATTTGACTTTAAAACAGATGTGTACAGAGAAGCTTACGTTGCGATGCTTTGGTGGACTGATTGGAACTTGAACTCCTAAATCCTCCATCTTGAAAAAAACTGTTTCCTGAATTTTGCATCGACTTGTCAAGTCTAAACTTCTCCACTGGAGGAGTTTCAACCTGACAAGTCAGTAGAGACTGTTTGAGCCGGTATGTAAAGCAAAGCAAGATGACAAGGATGACTGGCCCTGTCATAACGATGCTATCATTGTGATTTTCAGCTTACAAGGTTAGACTTAAAAGTCACTTTAATGTTCATGCAGGAGGGAGCATCCAGAAGGTCCAGCCTTACCTGGAGAAAATACCATAATCTCAACCCACCGCTGATTTAAAGGGTCAGATCAAACATAGAGCCCCATGTCAAATGATAGAACAATACTGCTGATGTTGATCTAGAAATGATCAAATATGGGAGGTTTTGTTGGTGACATAAGCTTAAAGTAATGGTTGCCTTCTACATTTTGGGAATCACGCTTATTTGCTATTGTTAGAAGAGATTGAAGACTGAGAAGATTAACACCACTCTCATATCTGTCCGTTCCAGCAGCTGGTTAGCTTAGCTTAGCATAAAGACTGGAAGCAGGGGGAAACAGCTAGCCCAGCTATCAGCACATGAAAAGCTCACTAATGACACGTTATATATCTCTTTCTTGTGAAGTCTTGTCATCACCATGGGCTAGTTGGGCTGGTTACTCAAAAAAAAAAAGTATTACTCATTCCTCATTACTCTTTTAAAAAGTAATATCATTACTTTACTTATTACTCCCTGCCAACAGTAATTGCGTGTTACTAATTTCCCCCACGATTACAAAAATGAATCCAAGGATGTGTTTGATTCTTGGATTTCAAATCAGTAGATGGTGACAACAAAAGTAATATTCTAACTAATAATTTTTGGGAGGAGTAACTAATATTATTACTGAAATGTATTAATAATTAGTCACTGAGAGTGGTATCAGTCTTCTCATCTAATTCACGGCAAGAAAGCAAATATTTCCCAAAATGTCAAACAAGTCCCTTAAAGACTCATTATCACACATTGTTTGGTGCCTGTCTTTTGTTGTCAGAATGGTTTAATGTAATTGTCTGACTTTGCCAATGTACCTCTCAAAATAGTGAATGTAAATAGATTTGTACATACTGAAGAAACAATTCAAGTATACAGAGTTTTCAAATCACATGTGTTGTTAGATATTAGTGTTTTGGTAACCGGGCATGGTTGTTTTGTATCAGTGAGATATATTAAAACTCAATATTGACTCAACAATGACTCACTTATAGTAAGTATTCAGTATTGAAGTATGTGTAATATAGATTTGTTTATTTGCAAACTGGATATTGTGCTGTGTATATTTAAGTTTGGAGAGTTTTTTTGTTTTATTGTTAACAACATATGTGTAACACCATTGCAATGCATACCATTGTGAAGCTACAAATGTACTGCAAGTATTTATTAGCTTACATTCACATTTGTGTTCACAAAAGGCCGTTCATTAGTTTTACAATAATAGGTTTTTGTATATTATTATTGTTATTATCATTATTATTATTATTATTATTATTATTATTATTATATTGTGTTGTACCTTGTATATAAAAAGTGAGGAAATTTAACTTGCCATAACATTTTGACATTGTTCCACTCGAACTGTATGAAATAAATTATTAAGAAATATACAACATGGGTGAAGTTTGAGTTTTCTATGGAGATTACATTAAACTTATTTGCTTCAGTGTTTTTTTTTTTTTACTGTCTGTCAAGATGAAATAATTTCATCATTAGTACGACTTTCTGCACCATGAACCATGTCCTCGCTGGCTGCTACATGTAACATTTTGCCTAACTGATTAAATTAGCTTATAAAGTGTTCCCTGCAACTTGACATGGGCATGGCCCAGAGTTGATTCATTTTTATTTCACTCCCAGAGATGCGCACGTAAGCTTCAGACTCAGGGTATTCATGTAAATACCTTAATCCCTGTCAGTGCACAAATAACGTTCAACAAGTTGCATGCAGGTACTTTTTTATTTAAATAATCACATTTCACAGTCAACACCTCCTCAACCAGTGTACTGTTCATGTTCTGACTTGATCGGATGTCTGTGTTCAATGTGCAAGCAGACAGCTTAATAATCTGATACGAATGTGTTATATCTTCAGAAAGCAGCAGGTTCTTAAGGAAACAATGTGTTTGTAATAGACAGCTCAAAGGGTTCAAAACATTGCCTCAGGCTCACAGAAAGAAATTATCCCAGTAAATGACTGTACCTTTTTATTTCATCGTGTGCTGTTACAGGTCACAGTGCCCTTACAAGAAAGAATATGGTGTCTGAAAAGAAAATACTTTTTAAAAAGACTTTCAACTTAATAAAGCCAGAATAACCACTTTTAATCATCTGCATACATTCAGTCAGGAATAAATTACACAAAAGCACATTTATTCTAAGGTGTCTTGTACTTTGAGTGTTTCTGTACTTTAACTTTACTACACCTCAGAGGGGCATATGGGCTACATTATTTTACTACTACAGTCAGTTATATGAGGGAACACATAAATAAAATGATGATTCACATAAATGCAACAAACTAGTTTGACTTTTGCAGCTTTAAGAACATTTAAACGCCAGTGACAGATTATTGCAACACTTATTAAAAGGCACGATTTGAAATGTTTAATTAAAACACAGGATCGGACTCGTCCATCACTCCCAAATTAATTGTTTTTAACTGGTTTCCTGGACAAACACTAGACTAAAGTTATTAACATTTTCTACCACAATGGTTTGGTTTTTAGCAGTACACACGGCAGAAAAACAGACCTAATGTTCAGTTATAAGATCAGAAACAGACAGAATGTTAAGTTTTAATCTGTAGCTCAAACTCTTCAGTTATAAATGTAAAAATGTCTTATCAGAGATGATGTAAACAAATGCTGCTTTGGAAACTTGAAATAGAGTATTTATTTTCACTTTGTGACATTAATAAATTATTTTTAATAGTATAATTTAAGAGTACCTTTACTTTAGTGTTGTAAAGCACAATGTGTGTTACTTAAATATTTCCACTTCAATATTTTTTATGCTAGTCTACTTTTTACTCCACTATAATAAAATCCCATTTACGTAGGAGGATTTTGAACAGTGAGTACTCTTACTTTTCACCCTTTAAGCATATTTTGCTGCTCACACTTGCCTACTTGTAACAGAGTAAGCCTATTTAATACTGTAGTATTCTAAAAATCTCAGTACTTGGTCCACGGGGTAGAAGGATCAGAATCAATCTTCCAGTTAGAAATCAAAGCAATTCTCGCTCTAGGTCCTCCCAGTGCCAGTGGCACTTCACTTACAATATTTGACAGGTATGACTGACCCGCTGAGTTTGCTTTGGTGTAATGAAACTCCAGTTATTTGAGTTAATCCCTGTGTTGTCCCTCAGGTTTATTGGTTCACTCGCTGCCTATGAGCGGGGCGGACCTCTTACTGCGCTCAGCACCATGAAGAAGAGTGAATTCAGCCAAGGCAAGACACTGTGTGCTGTAAAAAGATTAACAAACACACCCTGCCATGCCTGCTGTCTCAGATCTGCTGCTCTTGGGTCTAATGTTTCATTAGCTCTATCCACAAAGTGGAAATGAGCATGCATATAATACGATTAGCTATTCAGAGGAATTGTAATGATTGTAAATAGAGGGATTTTCAGGGTTGAAGGTTGATGCATGAAATATTAAAAACGTATACATAGATTAATAACAATAACCCCGAGGCCCATGTGTTGAAATATGCTGATCAAATACATAAACATATGTGTGGTTGTTGTATATTCTGCCATCAAATAATACATTGCAATACAGCATGTCAGTTAGCTTAAAAATATATGATTTTATAGTGTCTTTAGGTTCTCACTGTCAGAATACATAAACCAGGGAGTGGGATACAGACAAGAGAGAAGATGGATGAAGTTATTTTCAGCTTCCCAGTGACTCTTAAAATGTGAGACAGGTGTATTGCCTTTAAGGATCTTTCAATATTCATGACACCTGTTAAATATTCATGTGACAAATAAAGCAAAGTTTGGAAAGGCGAGCGACTGAGCAAATAAGTGAGCTTTGTGCAAACGGCTAAGAGACTGCTTGGATTACTTCTGCCGTCCTCAAACCAGCTCTGAGACCCTGACTCCTGATTTAAAGAGAAGTCGTCTGCCAAATCTGATCTGATCTGATGTGTGGCCACGAGTCATGCTGATGAACATCAGAGGTTTAAGTCAGAGGAATAAGTTATTGTATATTGACATTATGACCTCTTTGGTCGGGATTTGCTGGTTGTAATTCACAACAGTGACTGGCAAAAGCTTGACTTTCTCCTAAACACAAAGACTTACAGATACAGTGTTTCACACAGCTTTGAACTTTGAATTTGCATATAACAGAGATTGTTAAATCAAAGTGTATTACCTTGAACTTCATGAACATTTCACACATTAGCATGCCAACCACTACTGCCAACCAATGCCAGCTGGTATGAAAGAACAAAATGGTCCTGGGATATATATAGTTCTAAAAATGTACATACATGGTCTAAACTTCACATTTCAGCATGCTGTGTGGTCTTATATTCACCTCTTTATATTTAATTTGGTAAACTTTATCATTCATGTGACCTCAGAGCAGAGCAATATCTTACAGTGGAGATATATACTATATTTGCTCTCATGCTAACAAATTAATGAATTTATTTGTGGCATTTTGTAACATCTCGAGCCTTATGTAATCACATTAGGTTTTTTTATTATAATGTAAATGTTAAAGCTGCAGTGTTTATTATATATGAACAGCGGGTCAAATGACTATATGTACTGGAAAGGGGTCACTTGTGACTACCACAAATAATTATCACCATGCAGTTCCCCTTCAGCTCCACAGAGTGTTTTAGTGTCTTTCAGCTCATTGTTTTGTTTTACGTCCCACAGCTTTTACTGCTTCGGTTCAGTCTCACTGCTCTCATCAGCCTTGTACCTAGTGAAAAAGCTCTGACAAATCCACTGTGAACTACCTGCTCAGCGCCAAGTGGCAAACAGAAAAAGTTAGCGGCTAGTTGGTGAACACAGTGGAGCATTTAGCCGCTGAAGAGAGATATTTTCCTTAGGAGTTTTAACGTGTTCCACTTCCCCCAAATGAACAAAAAAGAAAAAAAGCTTTAAAGAAATGTTATTTTTCTTTTGAGTTCCTTAGTTCCTTTCCATAATGGTGCATTGTTGTTCTGCCACTCTTTCATCTGGATTTGTAAAGTACACTCAGTCATGATTAATGCACGCCACAGTTTATTAGAGAGCCAGCCTTCTAACATATGCACTTACATTCAGTATGCAAGGTGATCTGTCATTGCCAACACACTCTATAGAAGAAACTTACAAAGCTACACTCTTTGATTCATGTTTAACCAGGGTGTAAACAAGCTTTAGGAAATGTTCCGCACATTTACACAATGACAGGATGCTTGATCTCACTTTTGACATAAATACATAATTCAGTTAGGGAAAATATGACTCATGTAGTATTTAAAACATGCCGCCTCGTCTCTGTGAAGTGATTGTATTGTATATAGGTCTGTGCTGGTTTGGAAGGGAGAGTTCTCATTTGAGGTTGGGAACTGGCAGTGGGCACTGTACAGAGGCAACTAGATCAGGTTTTCAGGCTATAACATCCCTGTTGTTGCACTTAGATGCCAAAAACTTTATTGTTTCCCACACTCCAACATAATTACATAATAATGCCAAGGCAGTTTTTATATGAAGTTGGAGATGCACGTCTTACATTATATACTGTATTTTATGTATTATTAAGACATATAACATGAATAAACAATTAACTGTACATCTATGCATTAGGAGAACAATGGCACAGAGGAAATAATTAATAATTGTTTTTATTTAATATTTCTTATATCATCCTATCGTCACAGTCAAGTGATAGCTAATCTCTAATACATGTAACAGAAACAGTACAAAACATACAGTGCTGGGTATGGCAGAGGTTTTGCTTTATACAGTATACCAAATGTATATGTATGTATGTATAAATAAACCTTAAACCAAAAAAATTCAGTTCAATTCGATTCAATCGAACTTCCAATTTAAAAAAATATATAATATGTATGAAAACTGGATTGATTCCCTAATTGATGATGGTGAACAGATTTGTGAAAATAACCTTGACTTTGCTTTCATCTTTCATATTCCAGCTTTACATATAACCCTCAAAGGAGCTGTTAGTGTTGGACTGATAGCAGAGTCAATTTCAGGCTATCTCTCTGCGTGTTTTCCGAATTAGGGGGAGGGAGGACTTAGATGAAAGGAAATAATAAATCGATTGATTTATGGAAGTATTTTGTTAAAGGATACACTGAGGTTAGACTGTGAAACAGAACATGGATGAAAAGATTTTCTTTTAGGATGACAAATAAGAGAAGACAGACAGTACGTCATACTAACAGGTAAAAATATCAACAAATAACCTTCAAAATATTGTTTTTTACTATAATTTTCATGAATAAAATGTTTTAAATAACATTCATGTTCCAATACACTAATCTTTAGGACATAAAGAGAAAAAACACAACAATTCAGAATCATCATAATTAAAACCAACAATCAGTTCACTTTGGTTTTCAATAATATGAAAGA